GAGTGCAATTGCTTTCAGCAAGATATCCCGTGGAACGAGAAAAACCTTGAGAAGAAAAGAGTCCAAGAGAGGGTTCCGAACATAAATGTCGCAATTAGCTTTTCGAATCTTTATGACAAAAGTTAATTGTCTGTAAAAGAGAAAGGATACAAATCAATTTTGCAAGAGAGAGAGAGAGAATGGACTGGACACGCTTTAGAGCCAAAAAAAGGTCCGAATGAAGAGGGAGGCAGTGGAAGCTCGAGTGATTATTCTTCTCTTATCTGTACGAATTTTTTTTTGATTGTGCAGTATACCAGTCAATCATCCCTTTCCATTTCTTCCGATAGTTTTTCCGAGCCACTTTATTTGTTTAGGACTCGATGGTTTACATTTCGTCCTCGAGATTATTGCCTTTTTTTACATCCAAATGACTCGTTGGGCATTGGTGGAGTCGGTATTTCATGGAATCCAGTATACACATGTTCTCGTAAGTCAATAGTAGGTGAAAGGAAATGGGTCCTCGCTAGGCCCCACGCCTTAGACGACGAATCCCTTTTCTCTTGTGCAAGTTTTTTTTTACGCCACATTTCTCTTGAGCATAAAAACGCAGTCTTGTTAATCATAATAATCGAGAAATGAATAAAAAAGCTACCCCTAAATTCAATTCCGTACATACTGCCAGTCAAACAGTATTGGCGGGTGGTTAGAGTTTCACTGAAACTGCACATGCCCCCCGGCTCATAATACCCCAGCCGAATCATACACGGTAAATTTGCCATAGACCCATCGCGGCCGACAGGAAGGAGAATATCAAGTTGGCTGTTTGGACCAATTAGACATCACACCAGTGGTCGGGAAGAGGAAAGGCGTATATTAGCACAGCAGCTGAGTTCAAACTGCGGCTGGTATTTCGTATAAGCCCTCGGATGGTCCTCGGTAAGCCCAAATCGGCTTTGCGTTTCATACGGATACGTTCGAGATTATACCGATCCGATTATATAATAACTCATATTTTCAATACTATTATCGTCTGCAGATTCAACCTGTTACGGGGGCTCCTCTTCTTCCTTCTCTCTCTCTCTCTCTCTATCGTTACTCTTCTGGTCCGCTTCTTTTTTTTTTTTTTGTGCATGCCATTGACTTGTTCGAGGAGAACATATAACGTGCCAATGACTTATGTAATTTGCAAGTTTCATGCTTTCTGTTTAACGACGTAATAACTTTGTAATGCATAGGTATACATATACCTCCATATGAACTAATGGAAACACACGAGATTACGGATATTCCACGTGCACTGCGTGGTACGAAATCATAGCCCATAGCAGAGCAAATACCATAACTCGTACACACAAGCATTTTCCTCTGGCTGCGATCTGTCGTTCGACCTTGCGGCACACGTCATACGTCTCTCAGCAATGTATTTTGCGTACATATATATATACACCCTCGGTGCTTATGTACAAATATACATTACTGTTACGATAATGCGACTGCTATTCAACTTGTGCATTGCCAACAACGCAGCTGCACGTTGTAAGGGTATAACTCGTTGTCGAGAGCAGCAACAGCAATTTCTCCGAGAGGAGCGTGCTCGCGCGAGTCAATTCCGGTGAGGCGTATGTAAGGCACTGTAGTCATTTGAAAATTTGAATCTTGCAAGCCACGTGTACGCGTACACACTGGCTTGTAGGTGTATACAAGTGCTTGCCTCGTTCCCCTCGAAAGGATGTTCGTTGTGCATTCTGTGAGACGGCGTTGAGTAACCCTTCGAGTATACACGATTTTCTCTCGCCACAAGCAGTTTTTTGTTTTTTTTTTTTTTTTTCGCAAGAGAGTACTCGTGTGTACCTCTGCTATTACGTGCAGGTCTGACGAATCGTAAATGTGTTTGGTATAGGATGGAGGGTGTCTTCTTGCGTTTTGTGTGGGTCAACTCCAGCGCATTTCTATCATGAGTGATGCAAGCTCCTTTATAATTTTACCTGTTGACTGATTCATCTCTAAAGTTCCCTTCATTCATTTATGTAAGAGAAACCATTCGATTACATCCTTCTACGTTGACCAAATGTAGGCAGTTGCAGATTAACCAGGTGGATCGGCTCCATTTCGTGATCCTCGGGACTCTCCTGGATTTGTCCAAGCGTTAAGTCAAGGGGAAGCTTGAATTAGCACTAGGATCTGCCCCATTGCCCAGATTACATGTAGCAGTGCACGTATACATATATATACACGCGAGCAAGTATAATTGTACCAAAGCGTAGGTGTACCGTATGGAGATAAATGTTGTACGGTTACGAACGTCTGTGGTAATGCTCGTGCACGAGTGCTCGTGCCTACAGTATATGACTTTCGCGCGCCAAGGATATACCTTCCCGTTCTCGTCTTCCTATATCCCGTTGCTGATGCTGCCTATCCTACGTACACACGACCTAATTGCCCATGCACTGTGTGTATTATGTCGAACAATTATCGCTTTCACCCCACCTCCTGCTCCCTCCCCAGAGAAGGAATTAAACGAGGGCAGCATCTGAATTTCACTCGGTGAATAAATGGCACGCATTGAAGCCTATCGTTGACGTCTAATAATACAAGCACTATCTCTTACGTCTCAACTAGGGAATTTCTATACTATACATTCGTGAGTTCGTGTTTTTGGAACATTATTTGCAGTAATAAACATACATTAATTATAGACATCACGTTACCTCACCTTATCGCTGCCTGAAAAAAAATGTTGTAAGGCCTTGCTTTATAAAGACTTGTCCAGTAAAACGAATCTAATAATATATACCCTACTGTTCTTATTTGATACGTTCATTTGGTCATTTGGGTGTGGTGTCGAAAGTCCCATTTCTGTCCCATTCCTCCTCTCTTCAGCCCATTCGCTTCACATTCGTATCTCAAAGTACATGTGTAGATGTGTTAGACTGTTTTTCACATCTACAGACAAATATATGGATCGATTGTGAGCGTCAAGTAATATTGATCCAGATGGTGGGTGAAAATATATTCCTTCCTCTCTTCCAGTCGTATAAACTGTCTTAGTGCTAGGCGGCAAAGCAAATGAATGTCGTCTCGAGACGCCGTTAAAATGCAAATGTCACTGAATACAATAGAATTTGGTCTACAGTGGTAAAGCAAGATGCAGTGGAGTGAAGGGGAGTCATCGCCTCCGAAGCTTGAATGCAGAGTCCATTTCAACGGGGTGATTTAATTGGCACTGGTCTGCTGCTGGCTGTACTCATTGTGCTCGAGGCGAAGGACAAAGTCTCAACCGAACGTCTACACCATTTGTCGGGTCAACGCCTTTTGCGCGTCAATATACGTCAGGATGAGATTTCAAACAAACAAAATCGTGTAACACGGGAATCCAGTTGAAATATATATGTTTTCGTACGTGTGAGGTGGTGAAAGTCCTTTTGTCGCTCAAACAAAGGGGGTCGTGGACGCAGCAGCCAAGAAATCCAATTCCACGCTCGTTATTCACACTCAATCCTTCCTGTCGTGCGGCGTATAACGAGATGAGCCAAACGTATGGGAGTGCCAGCAGCGTCATCGAAATTCCACAATCGACTCCCAGAATCTGCATGCGGAGATGAGGGGGAAGAGAGAGAGAACTGGAGAAGTGGAAATCCAGAGGCAAATTTTGTGCATTAGCGCGAAGGCTGACGTTCTCATCGCGTGTATGATGATGACATGGGCGTATGAAGCGGCAACAACAGCGATGATGGACGGCAGTAAGTTCACACAGCGATTGCATACAGCGTGTCGTTAATATATGCATTGAAAATAGCATTGGCTGGTTTGTCATATTTGTTTCTTTTCTAATAATCATTTTTGAAAGACATGTATTTTAGCAGCACATGAATATAAAGGGAAAAAAGAGAATACTTGGAATTGAGACAAATGTATCAAGTAGCGATACTCTGCAATCAATGGTCGATAGAAGCCTAATAAAAAACCAATATCTTGACACTTGCTCTTGTAGGACAATGAGTTAAAATTTTTTTTCTACAGTTTTTCCATTTATTTTTCTTTTTTTTTTTTACAAAAGTCTCACAGCTGTAAAAAAATTTCACGCATTATATCCCGCCTGGTAAGCTCCACTGGTTGTACCAAACTCTAGGGCATAAAAACCTCATATTTCATTATTATTATTTTTATTTAATTATATAATATTCTTCCACGTCAGTATTTATCAAATCAATTGTTAGTAAAAAAAAACTCATTCAAAATTAATCAATACCAGCAATGTAAAAGACATATCTGACCAAACGCATGGCTCTACTACTGAAAAATTTTCTGCTAATTCACTAATAAATAACCATAGTATTTGCAGTCCTACAAATATGCAACAAACAATATAAGTGAATCATGCACTTGTGATAAACTCAACAGCTCAGAGTCGTGGGTGCTCGTAAAAAAATTCTCAATCTCAACTTTTCATCTCTCATCTTTATAAGTGTGAAGATAAGTACCGTCACAAAAAAATCAGCTCCCTGTCTCTTGCTAGATATCGTTACTAAAATTGATCTATTTATATTTAAAATTAGATGTTTTAATGCGCCTCACGTTGTAAAATGTACAAAATATATTCACAAGATAAAACACATAATACAATGAAAACATAAGAAAAAAAACTGTAAAACATTAACCCTTCTGCCCCTCTCTCATACTCTTGACATGATCGCCATCAATAACAGCTGGCGCATTTGGCCAGGTGTATCCAATTGTAACCCCTTGCTGACTACGCTCCATTGGTCAGATATCGATAGAATCAGATGGTTTGGAAGTAGTTATATTTTTATGGCACTTTTCATTGATTTATCATCCTTAAGCCGCTATAAATCTTAAAATGTAAATAAGTGTACCTCTTAAGTTTTACGAGTTAACAAAAAAAAATACTGGCAATATTACCGTGGAATCGTAAAAATAATTATTAGTATTGTAATATTTATAATAATGATAGTTATTATTCTGAACTAATCAATGATTACCCATTTTATTTGTTCCAGGCCAAATCGACCTCTGGACGCAGAGCATGAGCGGCTGTTCGTGCGGCTTCAACTCATCACAAACGGCCTGCGCGTGTTGCGTACCACGAGGTGGATGCAGCTGCGGCGCCGCCATGCCCAACAGATGCACCCAGTGCGGCCTCGAAAATTACTGCTCAAAAAGTGAGTACATTTATCATCAAAATCAAACTACACTACTTGGCACAACTGCTTTCTGTTACTACATCGCTGGTACAATCCGTTGTATTCTCTTCCCATCTTTTCTCTCTTCTGGTTTTCCAAGGCCTCGTTTCGGAGACCTCGTTCCTCAGTTGCTACAACTGTTCCTCCTCCTATTTCCTCTATCGAATTGCTTTTTATTCGCCAATTAAATTTTTATTACATTAAGGAGGAATTAGCATCTTTCTTGGAGATCGGCCAAATTGGTATGTAGTATCTTCCTTCCATGCAGTGATAGTATGTTAGGGTATGTCTTTGTCGAGGGCTTGAAAAGATGTAAATTCTACAAGCTCGGCTCACAAGAAGTGTAACTCGTCATATATTATTTTTAGTAGTGGAACAAAAATTGTTTATTTACTCGACAATAAAATGAAGTAAACCAGCGTCCGTAACTTCAAACTTTTCCTCCCAGCCCCGACTTCATTACGATAATATTTCTCGAATCCCTCCTTTTCCACCCTCTTTCTGATATTCTCCGTTGTCTTGAAACACTGTAGTTACAAACATAAATCGAGCCAATTGATCACGACTCGCTTAACTACTTGGACCTTCCCCGCCCCTCGAAGTCGATTGGTCGAGTCGATCCGAATCACTGGAGAACAGTGAAAAAAGGAAAAGGTGGTAACTCGCTACTTCCTCCCTTTTTATAAATTTAATGAGCCTCTTAAAGTATCTCGTTATACGCCAGAGCCGCATATCTTTTCATTAAACCACCATGATGGCAAAAAAATATATGCTGAGAAGAGCAGATCAGAGGCTACGTAGAGTAAGAGGGTTGACGGAAAATTTATTTGAATCGCATCGTTTGATCGAACCTTTTATTCAGTGGGCACGACATACAGAGCACTGCGTTATCCTTTGCGATTTTATTCTATAATTTACAAGTCCTTGTACGCAGACGTAGCCATCCCAATCTTTTGCAATTGTCCGGTTGAAGGTTCTTTTATTCATCGAATGATCTACCGTTAAGTCGATTATTAACAGTGCACTTAACCGATAAATCCATTTAGCTTTGAGCTCCACGGATCCTTTGTTACTTGTGATCTGCTCCAAACCTTCCTTTTTCCCCATCAGATGATTAATCTGTCCAGAAAATAAATTTATAATAAACTGTACATTATATACTTTGTACACAACTCACTTTGTACCTGGTAGTAACAACTATCAAGAGGATAGTTTATACTTTACATATTTATTTAAAAGAAGAAAAAAATTGCAAAAATCTGAAAAGAATCACTATCTTCCAACTTCCTTCTTCACTCACTCTTAACACTGCCATGAGCAGAATGCACTGCACACATGCAGGTTTTGCTCATTTTTCTTGACACCGAGTAGTTTCCCTCCTTGGCACTGGTGTCTTTGTTTTCGTCTTTCCACTCCATGAGAGCTTTACTTGAGCATTTTGCTACGCACATGTGAGCAAGTGTTTTCGTGAAGGAAACGTGTAATAGACGTTGCTGAAAACTGGAGCAGAGCAGAGAATCATGGGATGAAAATGATAAGATCAACGAAAAATACGTATCCTCCTTGGCGTGTATTTTATGTAGATTTGAAACTAAAAGTGTTACACGTGAGAAGTAGGAAAAGTGACTAATTTTATTTTGTTTTTTGTTTTGTTTTGGTCCACAGTGTGCAACGTGACGCTGGACAGTAGGCAGTTGTTCAGCAAATCGGATCGGGGCTTCGGTCAAATAAAGTCTCCGCAGCTGCAGGGGCCCTCCTCGTGCACCTACAGGTTCGTGCCGGACACTGGCCAACGAGTGGAGCTCCAGGTCTGGCGGATCATATCCATTGGGCGGCACAACGGCACTGCGTGAGTATATTTTTTGTACAACGTTGCATATGATTCCAGCTCTTTATAATTCTTCTCGTCACCTTTCTTTTTACAGTTTCATGATACTTGCTTTTTATTTGGGAAAATATTCGTGCACACGTTTACAGCTCCACCAAAGTTTTCCCAGCACCCATTTATACTTATTTTACTCCCATTTATGTTACTCCCCTACCTTGTAAGGACTAAGGACAAAACTGTTGGAAACTTTTAGCTCCCCATGTGTCTCTGTATGTTCATGCCATTCCGATGTAAGCGGTTTATTTGATGGTATGTCCTGCAGAGACAGTTCACGCCACAACCCGATGATGGTCGTCAGCGTCACTACTCACCACAAAAATTAATTTACCTTTATCTTGTGAATGCACAGGGTATTCTAAAAAATACGGTTCTGCTTTTGTGTTTAGCTTAAAACGAGTTAAAAAACTGTATGATAGAGTTTCAACGCACCAACGCGACGACTAAAAGTTGGCGAATTCATTTGGAAATCGTACATTCATGAATTTTGATCTGGAACAAGAAAGGCTCGGTTGGACCCTCGTAATTATAGTACTCTCGAAACTTTTGCGTACAAAACTTTTTGAGAGAATTATCCTCTTGCAAAACGAGATGATGAAAAATATGTTTTTGATATGAAAATCACAGCGACAGTCGTTTGGAGTAAAGGTACTGCGTTGCAAATACGATTTTTTATACATTAGTTTGGAAAAAAATACACTCATTCTGCACTACCTCTATTTTCGGAATAAGAAGGCCTAACTGTGAAAAAGCACCATCGTTCATATGATTCGCCAAAAACTGAGCGGGCGAGCGAGTGAGCACATGCTTAATGGAGAAAAACTAAAGGCCTCTATTTTACACAACTCCACTCTGTCTATATTTAAACATCTTGTTCGACTGTCCTCACAATTTTTCCCCCTGGGCTGAGATACAAAGCAGTACTTGCTAGTCTCTTCGAACAATAGCGATAGTCAAGCTTTCAGCTCTTGTTTGCGAGAAATTTGGGAGAGACTTGTGCATGTATCGTTAATTTGACGACCCGTAAGACTTTTCGAGTGTCACAGTGCGGAAAATGTCGAAGGAGGCGAACACTAGAGCAGAAACGATGCAGGTGACAATAGAAAACTTGGGCTTTAACAGCATTGTTTGATCTCTCGGCACGTTGGAGCGCACATGATTGCTCTTTCTCATTTTTCTTTTTTTTTCTCTCGTAGATCTGTATTGACAATGTGCTCTAGCTTTTCCGATTCTTCTGCTGTTTTTTTTTTTTCTTTTCGTTTTATCTTGAAGAAAGTGATGATAACAAACCAAAGTTTCTCATTTTTCTTCAGTTATTTGGGCATAGGGTTAGCTACGAAATATTTTCGCAGTCATTCTAAATATTGCACTAATATTACTATTCGAATCATCAGTTTGGCGTACTTGTTGAAACGTCACCAAACAATAAAAGCCGTGTCAGTATTAGTTTCTTTCAAATCATCTTTCTGCTTCATGCACTAAACATATACTTATGGGAAACAGAGTACATAATTTAAAAAGCGAGAAAATTGTCACTTATTCTTCCACAAAAAAATGGAACCACGAAACTTTTCCAAAACTTTTGAGGTAGCCAAATCGACAGAAGAAGGTAACATAAATTCCCAGAATGACAAAGCAGGCGAAAACAATGTCTCTGGCATGTTGGGCTGAAAATCAACAACAGCACGATCGCTCTGCCCTCCCTCTGGCTATCCTCGCCTCCAAGCAATAATAGCGGGACGCGTAGCTCGACTGTCCGGCGTAAATAAGTGAGGGTAGGTGGGAGGCTGCAAGCTCGTTATACACGTCCGCGCGCTCGGCCACGAGCTTCTGCGTGCAATTAAACCTTGATGCAAGTTATACGGGTCCGGCCTCGCACCTTTCTCCCTATCGTACTTGTAACTTGTACTGTTAAGTGCGCCCGTGTCTGACGCTGCAAACTGGCGCGCGTGGAGCTTTCATTGGTGTTCGCCCACAATGTTGCTCAAGTCCTCTCAGTGACAGTGATCGTAAGGGGAATACATTTTAATTTTCTGATTTGCCCAGTTCTCGTCCAAACTGGTAAAATTAACTTAGAGTTTTAGTTCTTTCATTTGTTATTTATAGAAAAGATGACCTTCGATTTGTCCTGGTCCTTCATTTCTCACTTCGTTAATGTGGCGAACTTTTTTATCTCAAATACAGTGGGCGAGAAGAATAAAGAAAAGAGTCGTTGGTCAAAAGGGGATCGATAGATCTTAACCACACAAAACCATATACCGATAAAACTCATCAGTACACTCATACTTGAAAAGTAGCTGAAAGATAAAAAAAAGGAAGAATAATTTAAGGAATAACTCAATTGCCAAAAAATGAATGTAAGCGTATCCTTTTTTGCGTAATGTAGTGTCAAATTATTGCGGTACGACTTGGCTCTGTTGGCTTTTTTCTTCTTGCTATTGTCGTAAACACACTATTTTTTAATCTAAGATAAAAGTAAGGTAGGTACGAAATATTAAAATCACCCTTTGTAATATTTGAAATAATCACAGTGAAAAAGCAAAACGGCTGACCTCAGCAGAGCACGTTATGCTCTCGTATGCTTCTGCCGCTGGCACGGTGGAAAACAAAGTGTTGGCAAAAGAAAGAGAGGGGTGGAGGAGGGATGAGGTTTCTCGCAGGCTACTCAGCTTGATCTCGAATGCAGGGACACGAGTCCTCTCGAGTGGAATAACAGGCTGTCCTCCTCACCCTTCGCCGCTTTTTCTGCTTCTTTTTCTTTTTTCTCGTCTTATTCCGAAGGCAACCAGTAATCAGGTTAACCCCCTTGTTTCCCTTTAATGTCGTTCCGATAGCGCTGACATGCATTTCCGAAAGGCTTCGGTGCTCAGCAGCTTCGTTCGGGTTTCCAGGAAGTTTTCACTCTGTTCCTTTGTTTTTCTTCCGTGCTTCTGTACACCAGATTTCTGCTCCATGAATTTTTCATCCCGTTTGACATATGATGTGACTAGCATTTACTACAAATTCACGCTTTTTTCCTTTTTTCCCCGAGTAATTATATACTTTCACCAGGCCTTCCCTGGTTAATGAACAACATTCATCAGCTCTTCAAGAATTTCGCAAATCAGTGCTCCTAGCCTCGAGATGATTGATCGGCCGATGCCAATAATAGATCACTCGCAAAATCCCGCAACATCAATCTTTTCCTCGATTCCTCTTTTTGTTCTCTACCTAACCTGAAAGCTCCTTTACTCCTTCTGTTCTCCTCACCAAACTCTAATGCTGGTGAAAATTAGTCAGGAGGCTCTGCTCTAACTTTTGATGAATGACTGGATTATCTTCCTTGCGGGAGAGAAGACCCCAGAATTTTTAATTATAATTGCCGAAAACCCTCACTTTGAATGAAGTTAGTTGTGTATATCTATACATCGATGGTTTGGTGTTTGATATTACTGAGGCTACTAGCTTATACAGCGAATCAAGTCAAAGGTAATGCTGAGAATTAATTGTAACTAAATACTGCGTAGGAATAATTAAACACTCCATGACTGTGAGATAGTCTGTGCGCCTGACCAAACTTGCATTTTTCTACTTACAGGTGTCAGTAGTGGCATTAAAGATAAAAGGATCAGATTACGGAAATAGGCATAAATTAAGAGTAAATTTTAAACGAAAAACATCAACTTTGTGCTTGACTTACATCGTTTATTACTACTAATAATTACAGAGAAGCAAAAAAAATAGTACTTAAGCATTTTGAACAATATTGTCCTTAAATTGAAGTATTTTAGGTTTAATATTTTGTGTTTCAATTAATAATAGTCGGTAAAAATGCTGCAGTTTAACTAAAGTGGTACATAACTTCCTACCAATGTACATTAAAACGTAAATCCTTTAACTTCAGACCAATAATGTTTAATAATCTAAGTTATTTAAGAATTAAAATTTAATAGCTGTGGCTGACTAAACTCGTGCATTACTACTTGTTTGCATCAATTGCAAAATACAGTTCAAGTCAATACTTCAATTCGAGTACGTCTAACTGTAGCGATACTGTTTTTCATGTCTGACTAAACTCACACATAACTACTTGCATCAGCGAAGGTGTGAGGAAATTAAACGTTTCACAATCCTTTCTTTTTCCATAAGACATCATTGTAGCCATGCAGTTTCTCACTTTCATTAAAGACGTTTTCATGTACATCAATGACTTGGTAAAAAAAATATCCAACTGATGATTGAAAAAATGGCTATTTGCCAGCTATAAAAATTACAGTAGAAACTGACTCGAAGAAATGTTTTTTATTTATTTATTTTTTACTTTTTTTTTTGTTACTGGCAAACAAGAATAATCTAGAGAGTAACAAGAGTATATTTTAATTTTATTCATAAATAAAATAGCCGTATAGCCACTAGAATATTTAGATCAGCCATTTTTTAATGTAATATTAAGTTGACTATTTTTATAACCAGATCGTCATTACTGCTAAAATAATGTAATGAAAAGCATGAAATAAATAAAACGCGGTTGCATTAAATTATCTACTACAGAGTGCAAAGTGTAAGTCAACAAACAAACTATAAACGCAAGCAAACATCATGTATTGGTACATCAAAAATCTCAATACAGTACAGCTACCCTAACTCGTTTACCTCAATAAAATGTATTTAGTACTGGGATGTATCATAACAAAAAGTGGAAAACTGTTGTTTTGAGAGAAAACTAAATCATCACATTGACGTGCTCATAAAGTTTTTGCTAATTAATATCGTGGTGTCAGGTGTAATTTTTTTTATCAGTATCAGCAATCAAAACTTGTTCAATTAGGTAACTGCAAGCGCATGAAAAGACAGTCCAGCATTCACCCTTAGATACATGCACGGGAGAAATAGCAACAACAGCAACAACAACAACAACAACAGCAACAGCCGAAAGCATAACAAGGGGAACCCAGCATCCCTCTGTCCCGTGAGCTGAATAATTGGTTGAATAAAAAATTTCGAACTCGCACCGCCACAGCCGATGCTGCTAGATGTTGTCCTACCTCCCTTCACCCCCCACCCACAGCACGAGGCTATTGTCGTTTTTGAGCACTGCTCCGCTTCTCCCGGCTGCAAATTGCAAGCACTCGCTTCCCGCTGTACTGAGCAGTAAACAAACAAACAAACAATCAGTACACGGCTCTCCCCCGTAGTGAAGTATGCGTGGGGGGTGTGTGCGGGCATCTAGTGTATTCTGATGATGTGTTCACCACCACCTCTGCTGTTGTCATCACGCCATTCAAACCGAACTCCCAATCGTTAAACCCAGAAACTTTAAATTTTTTTTTTTTTAATCATCGCTTGTTTGCCTTCCCTCATCAAAACGAGTACCTATAGCAATGCGGGAAATGAAAAGTTGCTCTTTAGTCACCATTTTCTACGAAAATTATTTACATTCCACATATTTTGAAACCTCAGGTGTGTGGATTTTTAAAACAAACCTCTATGCGCCAGAGACCACGGAAAATCCATGGGAGCATGAAATAATACCGACACTGGGATAATATTTCTTCTCTGCATCCATCCTCTAATTAGTGCAAATTTTAACGAGATACTCGCTACACTACATCCCCCAAAAAAGGGGTGGAGACAAAAAAGCTACTTGTACTCTAAATTTATTCATACATCCCTTTCCTTCGTACTCGCTCTCTTCAAAAGGTGGCCTCTTTCGCATTCGTTCATTTGCATTTAGCTTTTCACCTTCCAACCCCTTTTTCCTTTCTCTTCCACTTCATAGAGCCAGCGTCACTTTGATGGTTGCAAGAAACTCAGAGCGCGAGCAAAAGACCACATCACAGCAAGACAGTCCTGCGAAAATCGCTTCAACGCCTCAGTCGTTGATTACGCAGCTGAATGAAATTCGCGTCCTCTCCTCGACTCTCACAGCTGCTGCTGCGATGTCTCCATGGGAGAGGCTAAGTCAGTTAATGGACCAACTGGTGGGAGGGTTATAGGTGTCGCTGAGCCAGCCACAGCTCCAATTTAAGAAAAGTGCCAAGCAGTCTCCTTCTGCTCCTCTGTTTCTCGTAAATTAGTAAAAAATACGAAAACTAATGCTATGACTCCCACAGCATATACATTTTTTTATTCTCAATTTTAAACGTTAGCATAATATTCGAAAGTGAATCGTAAACGAGAATTTGTAAAATGAGTAAAATTCGTATCTACATTCGTACTATTTACAGAAACATAGGTATAACATACATGCATGTGAATCAGCGCAAAGTAGGTAGATTTTTTTAACAATGAAATTTCACATTTCCTGCTCTCCTCTCCAACTTCCTTATGTGTAGAAATAAGGGAATCATTGAGAGAAAGAATAGGTAGTTGGAATTAGGTGCAGATAACTATACTTGAGGTTAAAAAATTTGAGTACAATTAAATTTTATTGCCATTCCTCTATCATTAGAATTGAAGAATAATGTGTTATTAGAATCATGAGATCACATTAAATTATTATTTTGATCCTTGGACGTCTACATCTTGTATTTCAGACAGTTCGTACCTGGACAACTTCACATGCGCACAATATATGATTTGCTCGTTTGTTGCTCTCTGAAGCATGCGTCTGACATGACGCTGATTCGTACTACTTACTTTCAGGTAAACTGTAGATCACCTTTGCCTCTGTATCACTGTATGAATTTTGATTAGTTTATCAAACATTTGTCTTGACTACCTCTGTTACTTTTCTGCTCCCTGATCTGTTTTGTAGGTATAAGGATTCCAAATAAGATATCGAAAGACTCTAAATACAAGCTTCTATTCGAAATTGAAATAATACTTACCCAGTTTTTTTGTGATTTTCATGGAATAAACAACGTGCTGGGATTGCCTAGAGCAGCCACATAAATTTTCAAGTCAAACAGGAGCTGGTTTCTTCAGTGACTGAGCTGTACAAGAAAATTGTATATTACCGTTTAAGAGGTCATGGAAAATAAATATAGCCAAATTTTAATGGCACATTTGCCATGTCACGTTTATCTAAAAAGTTTCCAGTTCTTTCACAGAGTCAGTAGTCAGCCTATTAAATATATGTTGAGCTTTTTTGGCTCTTTCAGAAAAGTCACGAGCAGCTGCAACATCGTCGTGTTTTTTCTCTTCGTCGTTTTCGGTGCAGTGCCAGGAAAATTTTCGCCAGCCCGAGTTTACATTTAAATTTACAATTTTCCAGGTTTGCCATACCATTGCTTTTGGGAAGTAAATTGATTTTCGCGATTCCAAGCTGCTGTATGGGTGAAAAGCGCGAAACATCATTCAAGCATATACTGCTGCTTGTACAGGCGCCGCTCCGTAAGTGATTTCCGGCTGAGCGAACGGGTGACTGACTGACTGGCGCTTCAACTTGTCGCTCGTGGTGTTGGGCTCGAGATTTCATTCCCCAGTTTCGTGAAAAGTGGACTGGGAGTTGAGATCTACGTTTGCATCCTCACATTTACCGCTACAAGATAAACCCATCCTCAATATTGTGCCCTTGAAAGAAATAATGGGGAAAGAAAAATAATGTCGACATCTCCACTTGTCACTATGATTATCGATGATAGTTGTTATTTGACTGCTTTTGAACTATCACGTGCTCAACCATACCACGGAGATTTTTGTTTTTGTTTTTTGAAATGACTTCGTTAATTTGCGTTTTTGCGAGTTAATCAGCGTTAGCAGAAATAGTAAAATGAATAGCAATAACTGATGGTAAAAAAATTTCTGATTTTCTGAATAAATATGCTCTATCTATATTGAAAAAAATGATGTGGACTCAAAAAAATGCAATTAAGAGTTAAAGATGATAGAAAATAACTCAATGTAGCCAATATCCTGCAAAGAGACCTGGATTCCCGTCCGTTTTTAATTTCGCCGCACAGATGTGATAAAAGAGCCTCACGTTTGGGCAGTTAAGCTGCAAAAAGGAGAGAAAAAAAGTGACAGATGAAGGATCGGCAGATGGAAGGGACGGGGATGCGTAATCTGAGCAAAATGAGCGAGACGTGCAGCTGAGCAGCGCCGACAGCGTGTCAGGCTCTTTCAATTATTTATGTTGGCGGGTAACTGCATGGCCAACTAGAGAGAGATGATTTGCCCACGATAAATGGGATTTAATTTTCTTGCTCTGATACCATCGGGGCTCTATTGAGGAGATAAAATATACAACTGTCAATTTGCCTCCCCTAAAAGAGTGACGTGATATGGTCAGGGATATTCATGGCTTATCCCTTGCTCGGAAAAATTAAAGCAAGCTATTGCTATTTTAATTATCTTTTCAATGTGTCTGTACACTCAGTCATTTTCATTATGCTCAACGGGTTCCTTTGAGATCAAACTGAAGACAAAAAAAAGGAAAAGTAGAGTAATGGATATTCATGATTTGATTGCAGGTGCGAGGGTGGATGGCTGGAATTCGAAGGTGGGCCAAGGATATGTGGACGTGACTTACGACTGCATCAGCCCATTGTACTTTTCTCCGACAAACCAGAGCCGATTTTGCGTGTACAGTGAGTATTTTGCTTTTTTCCTTTTTTGTTTTTTTTACTATTTACCAGACAAAAAGTATAGTCACTAGTAACAAAGCATCTTGTCCTTTATCTTTTATTTAACGATCATTTGGTTGATGCAAAGACAAAATTAGTCGTAAAATTAAAAAGAAAATGAAATATTTATCAAAATACCGAGACAAAACTATGAGGAAGGAAAAGACGAAGTTTCTGCAGGTGCAGTGTAGAATAGACAAGTTTTTCATATAAACTAATCACGACATTTAGCTGACTCGTGTCCTTCTTGAATAAGCGGCGACAACAGTTATGGTGGTGGTGGTGTGCTGGTGGTGATGTTGAAAAGAAGAGGAGGACAAAAGGGGTGGGGCCAAGCCCACTTGGCAATGAGGCCAAAACAGTCGGGCACAGCAGCTGCGGAAACTTCAGTTCAGCGGAAACGCAGTCGTTGTCGTCGTCGCCGCTCGTCACGTTGATTGAGATGCAGGGCAGCTCCCTCTCTCTCTTCCACTCCTTCTTATCTATCTTCCTCTGTATTTTTTTTTTCTACCCAATCCTTGTTTTCTCCTATTTTACCAAAAAAAATACCAAGATTGAAACGAAGTTTATTTCTTTCTACATCGACATTGTTTCTCCAGAAATTCCAACTCCAGTATACTTGAATTTATTGTTGCACTCCCAGAGGAACATTATTAGAAACGAAAATTATCAATACATAAAACAACTAAATTCTCGCATATTGAAGCTGCTCCTATTTCCCAACTCTACTTCCCTCCCCCTTGCCTCTGCGTCCGTTTACTTTTCTCCTCCCTTTCCTCGTTGCTCTTTATCTTTCCGTGCGCGTCTCTTCATCCTCCCAACCGTTCTTCTCTTCGAATTTCTCTATCGGAAAGTTGCTATATATTGGAGCGAGGAGCGAGTGCTCGCCAAGACGGGCTCATTTACATTCTTATTAAATTGTCCCGCTAAAATTACGACAAAACTTCGTGGCTGCGCTTATTTCTGGGTAAAGTCCTCCCACCCCCTGAACTTCCTGTATTTTTTTCCCAACCACCACTTCTTTTCACTTTTGACTTTTTCCACTCTCAGCACTGCTGTTTTTTTATTTTCTTGATGCCATACCTCATTTATTTTTGGATCGGGCCCTAAATGCGATCGTTGGGTAAGTAGTTATTGCATAGAGAAATACAAATATCGTACGGTTCTTGCGTTAAAAATAAAAAAAAAATAGAAAGTAAATGGTATTAATAATTCAGAACGGACCGATGCTGTGGGGATAAAACGATAAACGCAAACAGCAAATAAGCGGCGCCTCTGTATTACTTGATTACGCGGTAGAAATTCAATATCGCGAAGGATCGTACTCGAGACAATCTGATTATCCCTCCCTTGTATTTTTTTCCTTCGCTCTTCGTCTGCGAACCCTAAACTTAATCACACTTTTTTTTTTCGCTGACGGCAAAGTGTTTTTTTTTCGGGTGACGAGTCGTTACTGCATTAGACTGTGTATGTATACTTTCTCTTAGACCCTTCGAAGTGTTGGGATGCTGAGGTCGTAGCAAACATTTTTTCGTACAGCCGAATAATTCAACCAAATAACCCTCGTCCCAAAATATATATAAATACACAAATATACGTTAGAGAAAGTCAGCTCTAGAAGACCGATATGTTACGTCCGACCCACCATCCATATTTATCCGTACTTTTACGTACACCTACGTATGAATTTTATTCGTCTCACCAAATCTATCAGTCAGTATGTCTCTGTATACCCCCGGGAGATACCCCCCATATATTTCACGGCCACTGGCGCGTAATATGTGTCTCTCTAGCTCGAACGCCCCTCGTATCTTTTAAAATTTTTATGCCGACACCTTGCTGCTACATCCATATCGATACATAACACGTTGCGCACACCAGTGACTGTCGCAAGTTAGGATGTGTGTGTTGGAGTGTTGTAATTCCATTTTTCAATCTGATGTATGTAAATTAAATCGTTACATTTTCACTGGTACCATGCTTGCTTTGTATACGACCATAGCGGTCATTCCGTACTTTACGATTTACACGCACCGAGAAATTTTTACAGGGATAAGTTTTTCTATGCCAAAATGATGCATTGATGAACAACGTTTCTCTGGTTATCTTTAAAATGACTCTATACGTTTATAATCCAAAGTTTTAAGGAAAATAAAATTCAAACCAATTATCCGTTTACGACTACACTTTATATTTGCTGAAATTCACGAAAATTCGCCTTTTTGCCTTTTTTTTGTTTCTGAAGACTGAAAACTATTAATTATCTCTTCCCATCCATTTGTTTTCTATTCTGCGTGTGTGTAATCATATGTTCTACTTTAGATCAATATTTTTGTAATTAAAAACATTCAAATACTTACCAATTAAAATTTCGGTCATCCAAACTAGTTAATAAGTATTAAGCTCCCCTTTTCTCGTCTCGCACACTCGATTGAACGTCCACCCCCTGATTTTACACTCTTCAAGATCCACGTGACTTACTCGACGTACTTCACCGCGAAAATTACTCGGCTTTTCATAATTGCCCAAAGCACCACCAGCCGTAGTAGTCGCCTCAAGATCGATGGTACACCCTAGCGCTAATGTTGACTTTGGGAAGAGCGAAACGCATTAGCGCCCCCATTACAGCGGATCTTACGCTTTCAAGCTGAAATGTTCCTGGTACCGCCCTCGGTATAAATTGGCCCCCTTTTTTCACGCTGCTACTCGTCATACCTGCACTGTAATTAATTTACCGATTAGTTATACGTTTCAACAAAGTTCTTGACGTTGTTCTTCGTGTTGATCGAAATTAGTAAAAACTAAAAATTGTTTGTCACCCAATATCCCGCAAACTTGGGACCACATTCACTTTTTTTCGCGCTATACTTGCACACAGATTGAACGAAGAATTGTACCAAAAAAAAACTAACTGCTAAATCTTATTTTCAGAAAGAAGCTCTTTTTATTGCTTTCGTGGCAGCTTTCGCGACGGCTTTCACCCTCCAATTGCACCCATTTTACTCTCTTTTCTTTTTTTCCCTTGCCTTCTTATTCTTCGAGTCTTTTCACCACGGCTTTCAAACAGCTACTTTTTATTTAGGTTATCTGTATTCACAGTCACCTGACAATTTTTTATCATCGTCTCAATTAAAATCATCACGAATAAACTCGTTACTTTAATTCCTCGTACTTGAGATATTTAACAATAGTATAGTTTTTTTTTCTCATGAAAACCTTTGAATAGCATATGAATGCGTATGTCTTTTTCTTGATCTCGAAAAGAGAAAGTGCATGCAAATAACTGACATTGTTATAGAGTCTTACTTACGGAACATAATTAATTTTTTTTTACTGTGACTGCACTTTAAGAGACTAGCAGGTTGCCCCATCAATTTTATGTCTCAAAAAAATAGCATTTATTATAAAAATACATGATAAAGGTGTGAAATAAAGATGTAAAGAACAGATAAAATATATTTAAATGAACGAATTAAATTTTTTTTTCAGTTTACGTAGAATTTCTTGTATTCGCATTTTTACTCATGACTATTTGGATGGAATAATGCTTGAATATTTCACTAAACAAAAGCGAGCTATTAGTCAAAGCGCAGTTGATAATAAAAAAGTAACCTTCCGTGTACAAGAACACAGAATGTAAACAAAAGTTTACTAAAATGTCATAATGCGTTCCTTTCCCCTTGGCTCCTGCATTATCCTAGCGAATAATCATTTCTTTTCAGCGTCGCCTCCTTTCGACTGTTACTTTTTTTCGTTCACATTAACAGTCGTTGCAATAGAGACACGCACTCTGGGCACGAAAAAAGACTCCACCTCGCCGGCATGAAAGTTTAATACCATCCACGCATCGCTGACGAGAAAAATCCTTTTCAAGTCAGGCAACTCTTATCCGTAGGCGCGATCTCTTCTTCTCTGGTTTTTTTCATGGTTTCTTTAAGCTCAGCCCCCCCAACCTTCCGACTATTAGAGTGTCTTTTTTTTCCACCGTCAATAGAGTGCGTCTAAAGTGCAGAGTCCCCATCATTTTCAGTTAAATGAAGCGAGATGCAAAGGATACGGGTTGTCGGGGAAGGAGCGAAGAAACTGAACCGAGCGTAAGAGGATCTGATATTTGCAAGCAGATTTTCTTTGGTCCTGGTGCCGTCTTTGTGCTGCACAAGCACATATTCTCCTTTACGGGGGATTTCCGAACTTCTAGTCCTCCCACGAGGATAAAGAGGTATCTCTTACTTTTTCTCTTTGGGTATACATCTACCGAGGAAATTTTTGGATTGCATTTTACAATTTGTTAGTACGAGTTAATAATTGGACGGCACTCCGTGCACCGATACGTGATTTGAATTTTAATTGGTTATTCAGCTTGAAGGTAGAGATAATTTCATGCACGTTCACGATTGAAAATCTAATCGGTTAAGTGGTGCAGGGTATGCATTATGCATGCTCTTGTAATGGCTATGCATGATATCTGCATCAAAGTAGGATCCCTTTGCTTATGTGGCAGAAACAAAAAGGATAATTTAATTCATTAGGTATATTTTTTTAAAGGAGATTTTTTTCTAAGGCTTTGCCGATAAAAAGAATACTCAGGACGCAGGAATAGTACATCTTTTTAGATGATATCTGTGAAATTGGCTTTGCACTCATTTCTGGAAAAAAGGATGGGTGGAATGAAAAATGGGAGGAAAGGGATACAAGATTTTGGTAATAACGCTCCCCACATAAGAGGTGTGAAAAATACCCATGAAAGTTACTTCGAGGTATGGAGAAAGGAAAATTAATACGAAATGCTCCGTATTGACATTAATGATCACAATATTCAGAATTTTTGCTTGCTTAAACGAAGACATAACAACATCAAGTAAGTTTGAATTTTGTTTTTAAATTATTATACCTTGGTGTTAAAAAGTAGGTATAGAGAGTATAAAAAATAAAACTCGACGAAAAAAAGTAAAATGTGAAAAAAGACTAGTAAAAAAAAAAAAGAAAAAAAAAATTCTTCAAGGGAGTCCGGGATATTCCATTATGGGTGTTCTTGTCTTTAATAATTCCTAGGCAGACACTTTTTTCCGATTCGCTGGGCGAGGAATCCTGGACTTTCTCATCCCATTAACGGGCATTAATCACATTATCGAGGAATTTCATCTTGAAAGCTTTTCTCATTAAATCGCTACTCTTAATCTCGACACGCATACATATCCCTCCAATATACACAGCTGCCTGAAATCTGATGAAGCTTGATATTTTATCTTATTTCCTTTCTAAAAAAAAAAATCACTCAAAAACAAATTGCTTCCTACTTTTGATTTCATCTTAAGAACCCAATCCCACTTAATGGAGTGGAATGGAAATGCCATTTTAAAATTCGCATGGAAAAATGATGCACTCCCATTCACTCGGAAGCCACGAAAACTTTCCTCAGCTGCATTCACAATTGATAACAGTCGATATCCACCTCATCCAGCCAATACCATTCACAGCGGGAAATTAGCAGTAATCAATGCGCCTCTTCCATATTAATGCTCACTCGCGCGTAAAAGGGATTTCGCGCGACGGAGCGAATTCACGAACTCCCCTCCCCCACTCGACTAACGCACAAACTACCCTGGCTCATCTGCTCATTGGTATTCCGAGAAGCTGAACTACTCCACTCCCCCCCTACCTCCCCCCCCCAGTCGCTGCACGCACACAAGGTAATTAAGATATCCGAATGCGCCGAGATAACGAGCGCTCGTTCCCCTCTCCCATTCGCCTCTTCACGCTCGACGTCTGCGATCCATCTAATCACTCGCTATGTGCACCCTCTGCGCTGATTTCGACTGACTTGCCCTCCAACTTCGTTAATTTTCCAGCCCAGCAATCGTACCTGCCGATAATAACCCCATTCTCCGACCCCCTCCCTGTTGATTTGCCGTCAATTTTAATTGATTTCGGAACACTGCCGAGCAAAGCAATCGACGTCGATCTTTCAGCTGCTCGTTTGAAATCTAGAAAAAATGTGTCATTAAACCACACCGCCTCGTTTTTCCTTGAATCAGTTCAACACTGCCTTACTAGGAAACGTTGAGTGTGCTCGAGCTTTGGCGTCAACTACGTGATCGCCGATCTTCCTCGGACGTCACCGTGAAATGTGGGAGGTAGAAAAATTTTGAGAAAAAAAAAAGGGGAAAGTTTTGGGGGTAGGTGACAAGGGCAACAGCACCCGCCACGATAGAGCCGGGGCTGATGTTTGCAATTAACGAGGGCAAATATCTCTGCCTTTCATCGCGCTACGGTCTTTTCTGTTTCGGTCGTGTGCCTGGCGTTGACGTGAATTCCGAGCTAGCCCAGCAGCGAGTGTTAATGAGCAGAGCCCGGGATGAGGAAGGGGAGGGCCTCGGTCGCTTTTGAAATATTATCGTCGCGCATTACACGACGTCGCTCTTCCTCGCTCCCACCCTGGCTTTGCTAATAATGAGCCGGGGCCCGGCTTGCGGCCAGCAAGCTCGCGCAATTTTCGTTTCGCGCTTACGCAGGCGTGGATTAATCATTCCTTATTTCGTCCCCTTCCACTTCTTCTCTTCGCTCTTTACAATTTTCGCGTGGGTGTTAATTTTTAGTACTTTGTGCCAACAACAATAATTAACGTTGGTACCGTACTAAATCTGCTGTTTGCAACGGCGGGGAAAGGGGAAGGCAAAAAATTTAATGTACACCGGAGTGGAGAGGAAGAATAAATAACCAGGAAATTCCAGGCAACAACACTTGAGTGCTTCGTGGCTCTGGTTTGCTTTTGTTCTCTCTCGCGCCTTTTTTCAACCGACCCCCCCCCCTCCTCCATTGCACCCTTCCCCAGTGCACCGAGTTATCATTTTCTTTTTTTATTTTGCTGGCTGGTACTCGTCCGCGAGTTGTAAAAACTCGGTTGTTTGCCGAAACTATTGATTCATCGACAATTGAAAGGAAATTAAGTAAAAAATTTGCATAAAAGGGTTACTGGTTTCTCTTCAAATTGGATGAAAACTCCTATCGAACGGGTAGCAAAATATTTGACTCCAGTAATAAAACCTTGTGTTTCTGATTTCTGATGGTATATCAAGTTATTTAAAAATCCAGAAAGAATTTTACTACATCGGTTGGCAGAGTAACTTTCTTTTTTTCGAAATCCATGTAAACAGTCTAAGGTAAATTTTTATGTATATTTTGAAATAAACAGCATTAAAGCTCGTTAAAGGAAGAAAGTTTTCTGAAAACAGTTAGTTAGAAACTGTTGATACATACGAAGATGTAGAGACCTGATGTGGGAGCTAGAGATGCTTCGAGGAGATTTATACGACGGGCAAACGCAATTATACAAGTGTAACATCTGAACTCCGACTGCTATAAGACCAACTTGAGTAACAGTATAAGTAGTGGCAAGAATTTCACTGCATTTATCCACCTCCTTAACTAAATAACCAAGTTAAATAAACTGGTGTTAAATTAAATAGACTCCTTCCTACTGGCATTGGATATTTCTTCTCCTGATTCTCATTAGATAACATTGTTTCCTTAACTTCTTCTCGGCAATTTTTTCTCTGTTTGTTTTTGTTGGAGCTTTTTGTTTATGTGTACAATCAAATTAAAGATAATCATAAGCAAGTAGAATTTAGTTAAAGTTATAAAACTGAAAACTCTTCCTATGTCTGACCAAACTCGTATATTACTACTTAGTAGAATAGATCATAAAAAATCCCAGTCACAAGTGCTTTTTACATTTTCTGTTACAATCAAAGTTGTTTTTCTTGGATTGCAGTTTTTTTTAAATTTAATCTTCTATGCTCCAATAAGTACAATAAGTAGTAATACTCGAGTTTGGTCTGGCTCAAAAAACAATCTACAGTTTCATCCAAATTAAATCTTTTGATGCTTACTAAATTCAATTTTGGGTATGGTTTTTTATGCACAGGTTAACTCTAACGAATATCAATGTAATGAGGATGCAATTAAATGTTTTATTCACAAGTAGTAAAGTATGAATTTATTTAGACATATCCAGTGTTGTATTGAGTGTGGCTGAGTGAACTCAAGGATTACTACTTAAACTTAATAATTGAGGCCCAAAGATAAAACAATAAAATTAAATATAAGCATCAATAGAGATATTAATGAAACAAATGTAATATAATGGTAATGTAAGCTCAATTCATTAACTATACAACTATGGGCCAAATTACACTTCATAACCATAAAAATACCATGAGCTAAGCTTACGTGTACTGATATTTTTGGTAAATTAAATAAATAATATTTTAAAGCGACGCACACACATAGTGCCCTCGAACAAGTAAAAATATATATCAAGTGCACGGCCTATTGAAATTTCATGTACATAATCTGCCTATAAATATCGATGAACGAAGAGAAAAGGTCGCGGGCGAAGGAGGTACCGCTTCCAAAGGCGATACGGCATTTTTCATTCTCTCGCAGTTGGCGAGCAAAAGCACACACGGGCCATTTAGCAATGAAAAGAAAAAAAGAGAGAGAGAGAAAAATATATACACCAGCACGAACAAAGAACTAGAAAACGTCAACAGCTCAGCGCACAAGTGCGCGGGCATTAAATCTTCCGAGGAGCTGCTGTTCGCCCATGATAAATATTTCAGGGCAGTGCCTCGGAAAAGAGAGGGGGGGGGGAATATATTTCTAGATGGGCGCACGCACTGCAGGCGTGGAAATATTTATCGCCCGTGGCACGCTGTGGTGCGTATAATATCTATACCTCCTGAGGGCCCCGTCGCCGACGATATTGAACGATGTGTCACATGAGGTCACAGTCATGTTGTTAAAAGGTACGTCCATGTGTTTCAGGATAAACGAGGTTACCGAGAGGTCACTGGTCTACGCCTTCTACAGCTTTGCGTCCACCGCGAGCACGTCAGTTGGTTGGCCGGCCAGGGGTGGCAGGCAGCTACCCGATACCGGTAAGTTTTCATTTTTTTCACCCAAGTTTTAGCTACGTTGTTTCACTCTTCTCATTGCATTTGCTTTTTCCCTGCACCCAAAGTCTCAGATACTCTCGCACGTATTAAATTCATCGATATACGTTCAGCTTTCGTGCCCATTTAAATTTCCAATCGAGACAAAGCCCCCAATACCATCCGATCGGGCGAATAGTATACCTATATGTACATTATATTGACTATATGCATCCCACAAAGGCTTCCGCGAATTTCCGTAATTCTCCTTTCTCGTGATCGATTCAAACGTCGGCAATTATTCATACCACAGCCAGCGATTTCTTGCTCTCTATGGTGATTACCGACGCCTGTATCGCACACCTTCGTGATGCCATGTAAAATCGCATGAGCCAAGCGTGTGACTGGAAATGCATAAGCACAGTAGACTCCATACCTTGGCAACGACAAGGAGATTAACGCACAGCTGCTGAATTCAATACTGCATTTGGACGAGTGATTCTCTCCCTATTTCCGATGTCGTATATTGATATAGCCGGTCGTGAACTCGGTCCCCATGACAACCTTATCTTTCGATCGCACGGCAGAGTCTCGCGTGTAACTAACATTTTTTTTACTTCTTTTCTTCCTCCACCTCTCCCGTCACCTCTGACGTTCGTGTTTCAATAATCATGCATGAAAATACCGGGTGAATTTTTTAGTTAATTAATCGTCTTTATTCATTTGCTTTATAAGCATGAATAAATTGCACCATTTTTTGCTTTTTTTCGTCCCTTCGGATAAGTAATTGAACTTTTTTTCTGTACTCTCCAATTGAGTTTCTCCCACGTTATCCTCGGCTTGTTTTCTTTCATTCCGTCTTATATACTTGACTAAATATCTGTACCAGCGTTTTTTCGATTTCCACACTAAAACTCGCGGGAAAAGAGAAAGGGAGTCACGTCGATCGGACGATGCGCCTGACCATATATTGGCTATCACTACTTGCAGCTCTCACTCCTTGTTAAAGACTTGCTTTGTGACATCTCACGACATTTTTTCTCACTGCACTATTTAATCAATCCCCTAGTTTTTTAACAACGTATTTCTGAAAACTACATTTTTCAATGTTTTTTTTTTTATTTCACTCAACTTAAAAATACTTAAATTCTGTTGATTATTAATTTTTCATAGCTAAATAAAAATTTACCCTTGACTGGAGTACATGAGTTGTATGCGGCATCGTTAAAAACCAGCTTGAGCCGACAAATAAAAGGAAGCTCGTTGAAAATTTCAAAAGCTTGACAAACGAGTCGATTGTCTCGTTCACCTCGAAAAGTGGGTCACGCGACATTTCAAAGGCCGGTATCAAGATGAATAGGGTCTAGAGCATACTTGAACTTGCCTTCGTCCGCACCAAGATACAGTCTGTCCCGCATGTCGGATTTTGTGAACAAAAAAAAAATAAAATAAAATAAAATAATGTAGAATAAAAAAACTCGTATGATACACCAGGCACATTCGAGGAACAATCCACTAAATACTTCCTCTTACCTTCGCCAGTTATCCACGGAAGTACACCTCCGCACTTCCACACTCCGTGTTTATCTCCTCTGTATTCCCACTTACCCACTTTCCAAGAAGCCGAGGTGGTCCTCGCTTTCGTGCACGAGAGGATAGCTAGCTCTTAATTATGATACTACCGTTCGCCAACAGCAACAGCACGTGTACCTTATCCCTCACACGTTCTCCCACCCCCTTTCTCCCCGTCTTCCTATATGTGTTTCCCACCGTTGTCCTTATTCCCTTCCTCGCGCGTCTACAATATATAACTATGTACCTCCACTACTCCCGAACGCGCGTGATCTTTGCCAAGTTTCTCCTCGATTGTACCTACATGTTTCACTACTGTACTGCTGGCTGACTTTTCGCCGTAGAGAGCCCTACGTGAGAGTTGCCTGTGCTCCCGTTTCTTCGTCTACACTTTACAACCAATGGGGTGACTCGAAATTTGTTTTTATTTTATTAACCGTCTGAAGTAGACCTATGCAACTTTAATTACAATTATTTCAACTCAATATAGGGGGATAGTTTAAACGCATGTATGCGGAAGAGAAAAAAAACCATATAGATTTATAAGCCATGAATTTCTGGTGCTTTTAGGGGAAAAAAATTTAATCGCACACTGGTTTCTCGTTGCGCTCGGCGGTTCTCGATTATCTCGAATATTAGAAGGATGTACGGTACGGAAGACGGAGGGTAAGAAAGAGGAGGGGATCAACTCGGGGATTTTCGTATGCGCGAGACGCGAGAGCCGTGGCTCACTCTCCGAGACGTGACTCTGGCAAATCTTTCCCTTGGCTCGCCTCCCTGTAATATTCTCCTGCTTCTTCCCTTCCATGTACACCTCCTTCCATTCGGCTCGCGATGGTGAGTGACGTTCGTTTTCCTTTCTACTCCCTCGGCTGGATATCCCGGATGAGATTCCGATTTCACTTTCCAAAGCAGATCTCATTTTCAATTTGACGCGAGCACGCAGCTCCGAGATACTTATTAGGAATTTCTTTCCCTCACCTGGGCATGGCCATTAATTTAAAAAAGTAATTCAAACTCTCGTGTGCTACTAAACACCGACTTAATTGTGATCCGTATAAGTTGAGCAACAGATCAATTACTGTGATAAATCGATCGAACAAAATTCTCCACTACGATATTTCCCAACACGTGGTTTTTACGTCTTTTTCATGAACTAATCGTACGCGCACTCGTGACCCTTGGATCGAGACTTTTTTTGCCTCGGAAAACGCGTACCAAAGTACTCGCAGTGTAAAATAGTGGAATTCCCGAGAGGAAATAAAATCAGAAGAAGAAGAACGAGGGAAAGCACACGTGCGATGCGAGAAAACTTACCACTCGGTCCGACAAACAGATCAATAAAGAAGCTCCGCGGTCGATCCGTCACTTTCCTTTCCTCCGACGCTTACTTCGCACCGGCGCAGCTTCGGCAAAGTGTAGCGATGCATCATCCCGTACCTCCAACACCTACAAATGGGTAAAAAGTGCAGTTATTTCAACAGCTTTGCTCTCTGTCGTGCAAGTAGAAAAAAAAAGAACAACACTTGGCACATTTCTTTTCCTGCTGGTTATTCCCGTCTTGACTCTATTGAACGTTTATTCCCTGCCGAACATGAATGCAGTTGAAACCGCATCTCACAAAAATACTCGACTCGCCGACACTTTTAGCAAAACGTAGAGATACTTTTTTTCTCCCAAATGCCGCAATGCCGTGGCGCGTGACGGAGCGCTAAGTGCTCTCGGTTTTCTGTAGACACCCAAAGGCCACTTCGGCAATCTGACAAATAAAACCTCGTTCACGGGTCTTCGCCTTCGATCGCGGGAAATATGGTACCTTGGCCAATCTCTTTTTTTTTTTTACCTTATTCTCCTGTCATGCGGCTTCTACACGGGGGTATGGATTCGTAGATTCCGTTCTAAGAACGAGAGTGCTTTTTATGTGTTAGTATGGAGCAAAAATTGTAATTACAGCCTATAATGTTAATAATATTCCCTTTTGAATTCAAGTTAATTATTTTATTTGAGATTTACCAATTTCTTGGTCACATTTTAAAACGCGTATCTTTTATGAAATGTCTCCAAGGACTCTCAGGTTTTGGCGTAAAAATGAACGTTCGACTTTTACATATTATCTCGCATTGTTACATTAGCCATTTTTTTCACCCTTCGACTAGTAGATTATTACGTGACAGTTTTTGGGGCATTCCAAAATCATAAGACGCTCATACTTAAAAAAGTTTTTTAATCTCATGCGATTTATAGGGAGTCAGAATTTTTCAGAGTTCCTTACAACTATGCGAGTAACATTGCGCACATGCCGTCGTATGGTTTGTAGTTTCTCGGGGATATGTGAAAAATTTTATTTGCACGCAATGGTTGGGCTGCCCCGTTACGCGAATATCCTTTCAAGAAGTGCACTTAGAAGAAGGATGCGGGAAAATTCAATAAAAAATTTCGTAGAGAATCCCAAATGTGTATATTTATCGTTAGCTGAAATACGCTTCAAATTCCGCGTAGTAACTAAAAATGGAGAAAAAAAAATCGGAACATAGGCAGCAGAAAAAAAAATCGAGTTCGCGCAGAGAGGAAAATTTTTGTTCTTTTTCGGTGTGCAATCGAAATTTCGTACGTCTACAGTGTAAAAAAACGCTGACGGCCGAGATTTTCAAATTTCCATATCCACGAAACTACGAAAGCCTAAAGTACGCGGATGAGTGAAAAAAATGGGGGTAGTATCGCGTTGGAAAAAGGTGCGGAAAAAGCTCAAAGCCCATTCGATGCTATACTCTGCGAGGCCCCCTCTGATTTGCATGAATAATAAATGCTCGCACTTGAGTTACTTTTTGTCGCAAGCTACGGCCTTTCCTTCCAAATTTCCGTAAAATACAAACTTGCTCCTACTACTATCGTGATTTTGTTGATCTGTTAATACACACGGATTTTTCAAGGCATTGATCTCGCAGTATGTATGTGGAGGGTTTTTTAACTTGTGGGGTTTTTTTCTCTTTGAAGATGTAATCAAATCAAATTCTCAATCAACTCATGTCTCGTTCAATAGGCATATACCTAACCATACATCATTATATTTTATTTTTTTGTAGAATGCGATTGGATTTACGAGGAGCACCAGTGCCACAGGGGCTGCGTTTTAGCGAGTCCCGGATACCCAGGCCTGTACCCGCCAAATTCAAGGTGTCGATATCTCATTACCTCCAATCGAACTGTCACCATCAGTATCTCCTTCACTGCTGTTTTCATGCCCATGACGTGAGTATACAGTTTTCCGTAAAACTTAATCTAAATAACTCGATTTAAGCATCAATAATATAAATCCGCATTAGAGTCAACTGATTAGCTCAAAAATGCGCTTTTTTTTATGACTCCCACCACACTTTGGTACAGATGATCTTGTAATTGTTTTAACAATATAATTTTTGCTAAAAATGTTATGTGTTATTTATGCTAGAAACATTTTTTTCCGACAAATTTCATCCACAATTCTGGTAGTTTGAAAAAGAAGTCAATTTAGAAAACCAGGTCGAATAATTTTAGTATTTTATTTTAAATGCTTGATAATAAAATTCAAAAGTATGATTAAAAATGTGATCAACTATTGCCTTGTTAAAGGTGACAAATAAAAAAAATTTTCATCAGAAAAAATTTCCACTCTATCCCAAACAATCCTCTTGATCAAGCCAGTGCCGATAATTAATCCTCCAATGTTTGCACGCATTCGAATTCCCGGTGCTCCCGATAAATTCCATCGCAGCACTCAAGATTATAATAATACTACGGCGAGCAAGGGGACAAACGGAGTTTTGGATCTCGGAAAATTAAATTCCTCGCCGCGAACGACAACTGGATAGGAGGGGAAGATAAGGAGTAAAGCTAACAGCGGAATTCCAAGGGGAAAAGGTTCCTCTCAAAAGTTTGTCGGGCAGTGGTGGCGAGCAAATATTTGATAGCCCATGGATTCCTCTTTCACCCCAAAGTCAAACATCTTCGGGTCTACGTTTCCAAGCCAGCCAGAGTTCACCCCCTTCTCTCATCTAGTTTTACGATGTCCTCGTTTTAAGGCCCAAAATGATTCACTTTTCCTCTTTGCAGCGATTTTTGACTATTTGATGAAAGACTGAATCTTAATACACCACCCTATCTATCTCCCCTTGCTATTCTGAAAATTTTTTCCTGCGTCAGGTCAATTGATTATCAAAATAAGAAAAAAAAAAAAAAAAAGATCTATTACCACGTGCAGCTTAACGAGCAATTATCTGCTGTACGCCTTCAAGGTATTATTCAACGCGCACAAAAGAACAGTGAAGCAAGACAAGAAAGAGCTGGTGTCTAGACACTTGGGGGGGCTAATGATCATTAGCATTGCACCTATTTCTCCTTAAAAGGACTCCTCGCGGTAGTGGAATCATTATAAAACACACGAACGCGATCTCGTGCCCACAAAGATGCCCTTCTCTCCCACGCATTGTGCCTCCCTTCCTGCTGGGGTAGGTATATCGGGGATGGAGGATGGAGGGGAGGGCAATAAAAGCCAGCCCTTAAAAGGGTGCACTAGTACAGATGGCACACGCAATACTGCCGTACTGTATGTGGGGCTTCGCTTGGAAGGTGAAATGAGCGTGGGAAGAAGAAATAGACTTTCAAAAAGAAGAGAAGGACTGGAGGTGAGTAAACAAGGCAATCATCGAATGGAAGAAGTGCGAGAAAAATGCATTCCACGCAAGAAGACTTTGGTCTCTTTTGTCTGTGTATCTCTTTTTCTTCTGACTTACCGTGTTATGATGGTGGGCAGTTTTCTCCTAATCAAGGGAAATCGAGTGAGCATAATCAGCAGAAACAGCCTATATTCCACGGACTGGGTGAACAAAGTATTAATACGGATCTCGGATCTCATTTTCCCTATTTAACATGATTCCTCTTCTCTCTCATTAAAATTTTTACATGTCACAAGCATACATGGCTGAAACTGTCAGCGACTTTTTATCAACCAACCTGTTTTTTGACATCCCGAGTGCTTTTTCCTCTCGAAAAAGTTATCGGAGAATTTTTAATGAAAGCCTCCACGACCCCTCCACAGTCCATCAAGCCAAAGGGATAGTACGCCCTTGCCACCGAGCCATCGAAGCTCGAACGCCAGTACGGATGGATAAAGAAAATCCACTGGAGTAAAGGAAGAGGTAAATGGTGTACCGTCGAGCGAAAAGCAAAACCAAAAGCAGGAGGGTGGACGAGGATTTCCAGCCAAAGGAAGACGAGAGACCCGCAAGGCAGAAGGAAATGAGATGTGACGTGCTCACACACGTCTAAAAAGAGCATATTTATCTTCTTACGTAAACGCATCTCCGAGTAAAAACTCTGACAAATCGCACGCCCAGGGAGGAAGAAAAGAGGAAAGGCCGAGATGGCACTGTCGCCACTGGGTTTTTGCTCCTACATCTTGGGAAAGCAACTTTTACACGCATATACGTGTCCCTCCCCACGAGATTCGACCCATCTGCCACCCACACACGCAAAAAGAAACGCGTATCAAATTTTAACGAGGCGAGCTTCATTACTACGGCCCAAACGCTTGAGTGTCCAGTTGAACAACGAGCGAAACGAGCGACAGGCAGATGGGGTGGTGGAAAAAAAATCCGATCGTAAAAACGCGATACGTATACGAAAGGGGTGGAAAGTTTGATATCGATGCAGAGGCAGCTGCCTCGTTATCCTGTGGGTGGTAAGTATTGGAGGGAATTATTCGCACCGAGTCATCGTACATCTCATACGCGTGAGCTCACGTACTCAGCCCCGTTCGAGCGCTGAATTGGAAGTATGTTAGCCAAGAGCCCAAAAAAGGTGCCGCGGCCACGTTAATGAGTTCCAGATGCAAGAGAAAGATACCCCGATATAGGAGAGCGGGCTTTTGCAGCTGTAAAAATGAGTTCTCTTTATCTCTGCCCTGTTGTTGTTGTTTTATTTGTTACCCTCGAAATTTATCCTGAAAAATCTTACTGCTTATGGTACCGTGATTTTCCCTGACTCGACAGTGTGGGTGTATGCGCGTAGAAGTATTTGCTTTCCAATCGGTTCAAAATTTATTCGGACCCCAGCTACGGATCGAAAAAATGTAAACAAGGCACAATTGATGCAATGGAAAACCACGAGAGATCCATACTGTTGCTTCCAACGGTTATCGGGGGATGATGAATAAATAGAAATTGCCGGTGACCCACGCGTAGGGAATAAGATTGGAAGAACTGCTTTGCGGGTACTCTGACTATATTGATTTAGTCGCTGTGGTCGACACACCCGTATCTTATCTGGCTCCAATAGATCGGTACTGCAGTAAAAGGTAAAACAACGATACGTTGTGTTGCGGTCGCTCGAATTTTCATTGCGAGTAAATGATTTGACGATTCATTTTTTAATGATACAAATAGCTACGATGATACGGCGACTCCGACGTGGATTGGATTTTTTCGAGTTTATTCAGGTAAAGTGGCCACCCTACCCATCAACCGACTAAAAATACAGCAGCTGGACGTGCTGGATTTAATTTTTCTCATTTCCTCGCAATAATATGGGACAAATAAATCCTCAATTCTTTCTACCGGAGATTTTTCTCCAACTTCATAAAGATCAAGCAAATAAGCCGTGGTTTTTCTTTCTTGTATATATTTTCCAATATCTCTTTTGTCTCGCTATTGAGAGAAAGAAAAGAGAAGACTTTGTTGGGTATACACCTGCTTCTTTTTATCAGACAATGAAAGGATTGCACGTTTCTCATTTAAAAGCCCCAAAAGGTGTGAGTACGGCGAGACCACTTCCTTTGTACAGAGGCAGGAATGTCCTTCGCTGCTCCAGTCAGTCCAGGCGAGAGGAATAAGTTGCCTCCAACCGGTGCTGTGGCAATATTATCACCAACACCTGGAAGGGGACAGGGAAAATTAATCGTCCTTCCGTACGACGCTTTCGTTGGGGAATCTATTTTATCTTGTTATCTGGGCATCGGTGCTGGGATCATGTTACAGACTGTTTATGGGGCTAGAGTTGCCGTCGCTGATGGCAATTTCGGTCTTTTTTTCTTCCTCTCATGGACTTCATTTTTATAATTGACGTATAACGATACCAGTACACGAAGATACATGATTCGACCATCAAAACCATCAAAAAGTACCAGGCTTCAAAAAAAAAAAGAAAAGAAACGAAAAAGGAGCAACCAGCTCGACATAAAAATATGCTTCTTTTTTTATCTTTATCATCTCCTTCCACGTTCTCTTTTTTTCTTCAACCCCCTTTCACGCGCGATCGCTTTTTTATTAAGCGTAGACACTCCACGTCGAGCTCAAACGCAAAAAAAAAAAAAAAAAAAAAAAAGTCGTTCGATAAAAATGAAAGGAAAATAATAATAGTAACGACGGGCGCACAAAACGCTACCAAGATAAAAAATGAATGGGAACCCCGAGTGGGCGTGTGAAATACAATATCCTCGGCCGGAATATTTCATCGAGTATTTATTAGTTTCAGATTTTCCGCGAAAAATACGCGGCGTTGTTAGTCCAAATTATTTCGGAGGTGTCCGATTTTCATTGCTCTTTCAGTTTTCAATGGTTTATGAACGATATATATTTCGTTGGCTCGGACAATGTAGATTAAATTCTCTTAAAAATACAGAAGAAAGAAAAGTGCAAAGGAGATTTCTTTCTCTCTCATGCACTACACCACAATTTCCTCGTACGTCGCAGGTACTGTACAGTTTTTTTTTTCTAAAGCCTCGGCATCTCCTTGAACCTCTGTATGGCCCTCTCAAAAGAATTTATGCGGCGTTTTATTAAATTTGAAAAAAGCTGTAGCTATTTTATTAAAAACTCGAGAGAAGAAAGCCGAAAGGGTGAAAACGTGTCCCTTCACCGCACCACTGTATGAGAGAGCTTTCCATGCTCCTGGATGGCCATATATTTTCCAGATTTTGAAGGTGGTGTGAGAGACAATGTCGAGCAGCCGAAGAAAAATGCCCTGCACAAGGGCAAGGAACGCAAAACAACAACAATGTGGTTGGTAACAGAAAAACATGTGCAACGGCTGAACCGAAAAATGTGCTCTCGGGCTTTGGGAATTTCCTCCTTTCGACTGTCCTGGTCTGCAGAGTCACTCGCCCGTTCTCCGTGATTTTTGGCCCTTTTTCTTTTTACAAGCATTTAAATTCTGCGCAACACAACACTTGTTGTGACTTTAGAAAAGGTCTGACATGAGATATGAAGCAACGTAAT